TTATATATATATTCTTCAAATTTTGCTCAATTAATTTATAGACATTATCGCATATTTACTTGCTAGCCTTTTTGGTTTTAATAATCCTCAATTGATGGATAACTCTATATATTTTACCGAATCTTATTTTAATCTGCATTGGCCGAAAGTTCTCTTGCCTATATAAAATGTCTAGCTTATTACCCTTCATCCTTTTTTACTATTATTTAAATAATTCACTAAAAGAAAAACTCAACAAAAAAACATATAAATAATTTAACTATTTTAATTTGAAAAAAAAAAATATTTGTAAATAATTATTTATTTATTAGAGAAAATTATAAAAGTAAATTTTATAAAGAAAAAAACATTGACAGCAATGAATTAATAAATTATGAATATATACTTACCATAAAATTCTACTATATTAATTAATTAGCATCGAGGGAAGAAATAACATAATTAATAATTATCAAAGCCATTGAAAAGTATGAATGCTCAAAATCGAATTGAAACGCGCAACATGCTAAATTTATATGGATACTTCCTAGAATTTCAGTTCACCTGATGTGAATCAATTGTAAATTTCTGTCGGCTGCAAGCTACTAATACTCTCACACTTATCACCTGGCTTAGTCTGTACACTTGAGGTTATTAGCGTAATGTTATGTGGCTCGTTGGGCCGTCTGTCTAACGCCAGCTGAAGGAGTATTGACGTCGACATCATCGCCTTCGTCAAACTTCTCTGTCTCGCCGCATCCTTGGGGAGCAATTTGTAAAAGACCAAAGCTGCGGCTGCTTTGTGCCTGGAGCGATGCCACCAGGCTCGCCAGCGGCGATGTTGGTTACACCTGTTTGGCAGGTGCGCCATGTGCTTGTGCCGCACTTAACTTTTAATGTGGGTGTGCGTGCGTGTGTGTGTGTGTGCATACATATATTGGCAAACAACTGGTTTACATGGCAGTTACGCGGATTATGACTGTCATTTTGTGGTTTTTGATCGTTTTAGTTGCACAATACGTAATTAAAATGTTCATTTAAATGTGGGAAGCAGACACACTCACACACACRCACACACAAGCCACAATTATTTGAATCGTTTAGCATTGAAACAAAGTGCTGTAAATTAACATAATGTCTAGGCAGACAAGCGAACAATAAAAACAACAAAAGTCTCAAACAACAGCAACAGCAACAGCAACAACAATAACAACAGCCACAAGCATAACAATAACAACAATAAAGTGCAAAAATATTTATGCCAATGCAAATGGCGTCTGCATAAAATTTATTGACACTTTACGAGTGCTGCGCATTTTCGTTGTCATGGTTACCCGCCCAATGGTGTGGGTAGCGGGCGTGTGGGCGGGGCAACAGCATGGGCTTAGAGGGCATGCTGAATGCTGCATTGTGCAGGTCTCTTCCGTTTGTCAGATTTCGTTGCGGTTGACATTGTTATACTCATGGCCACGACTGGGCGGCGAGGCAGCCCGATCCGCCCAGCTTCCAGTCGCTCGCCAAGTTCCACGTGGCAATTGCAATAGCATTTATCACAAAATCCCGCAAACGTGTCCTGGCATCCTTGGCACTGCCATCCTGATAGTTGTAGCTGCACAAAATTTTTGTTTTCATTTTAATGAGCAAACTTTGCGCATGTTCGCTATTTATTTGCAGTTTAGCAATTGGCACGCGAAAACGCACCAGCAACAGCACCAGCAAATGCAGATAAAATGCGAAAATGCGAACGAGTGCGCAGCATAAGAATTAATTTTCAATGGCTGCACATCACGAACTGTTGATATAATAAAATAAGTATAGCGCTTACTGCCACGCGCACTTTCTGCAACACCAAATGCCAGTTAACACCGCAGTTTATGGCGTCGCAACATTTCAATTGAATGCGTTAACTAAATTCCACTTAAATTCGTTGTTACAATTTAAACGACTCGCAAGGCGCTCACTTAATTATTTACAACAACCGTGCTGAACTAGTCTAGTTCTTATTGTCTTTTAATGGTCATAAAACAGCCGCCCTCAATTCAATTCCTGTTAACAAGAAGAAGAGACATCTGATATTGTATTGCCCAAGAGTTAAGAAACTGAAGCTTCTATTGAATCGTTATCTTCGAATGAAACGAGTTGAATTATTTATTTCAAGTGAACAGCTTTTGATAGTCTTTGTAGTAATCCATACACTTGATAGAAACAGTTTTTCCTAGAAATGTTGCATGTAAAAAATTATAGCTGAAGTCTTTTACATCCTCTTTGTTGAGCAACATCCCTTTTTCTAACCAAGAGTAGCACTGCCACTGAGTCCTTCGATGTGCCCGAGTTGACCACTGACAGCTGTGCTCCTACCTCAAATAGTTTCTAGCAAATTCTCAAATGTTTTTAAAGCGTTTTTGGTGGACTATAATCTCCACTCTAATAATAATAATAATGTAAT